ATGAAGTACCTGCTGTCTGACAGGTGATCATGAAGGTGATCATGAAGTACCTGCAGTCTGACAGGTGATCATGAAGTACCTGCTGTCTGACAGGTGATCATGAAGGTGATCATGAAGTACCTGCAGTCTGACAGGTGATCATGAAGTACTGCAGTCTGACAGGTGATCATGAAGTACTGCAGTCTGACAGGTGATCATGAAGTACCTGCAGTCTGACAGGTGATCATGAAGTACCTGCAGTCTGACAGGTGATCATGAAGTACCTGCAGTCTGACAGGTGATCATGAAGTACCTGCAGTCTGACAGGTGATCATGAAGTACTGCAGTCTGACAGGTGATCATGAAGTACCTGCTGTCTGACAGGTGATCATGAAGTACCTGCAGTCTGACAGGTGATCATGAAGTACCTGCAGTCTGACAGGTGATCATGAAGTACCTGCAGTCTGACAGGTGATCATGAAGTACCTGCTGTCTGACAGGTGATCATGAAGGTGATCATGAAGTACCTGCAGTCTGACAGGTGATCATGAAGTACCTGCTGTCTGACAGGTGATCATGAAGGTGATCATGAAGTACCTGCAGTCTGACAGGTGATCATGAAGTACCTGCAGTCTGACAGGTGATCATGAAGTACCTGCAGTCTGACAGGTGATCATGAAGTACCTGCAGTCTGACAGGTGATCATGAAGTACCTGCAGTCTGACAGGTGATCATGAAGTACCTGCAGTCTGACAGGTGATCATGAAGTACCTGCAGTCTGACAGGTGATCATGAAGTACCTGCAGTCTGACAGGTGATCATGAAGTACCTGCAGTCTGACAGGTGATCATGAAGTACCTGCAGTCTGACAGGTGATCATGAAGTACCTGCTGTCTGACAGGTGATCATGAAGTACCTGCAGTCTGACAGGTGATCATGAAGTACCTGCTGTCCATTGTGAATTCTTTCTGTGTTTTCTGCAGGTGAAGCCAGATTGGTGGGGGGGTTATCAGATAAAAGTGGGCGTGTGGAGGTCTACCTGAATGGCCAGTGGGGGGCAGTATGTGACACACACTGGAGCTACCTTGATGCTAGTGTAATCTGCAGACAGCTGGGACTGGGGTGAGTCCCACATCAATGAAACACAACACAAGCTGTCATAACCAGGAGTGCAGTGACTCCGCCCCCTAGGTTACAGTTTTACTGAAGTGTGTCTTTGAACTTGTTTTTCTGTGGATATGTTCTGTATGAAGTGAGATCGGAGAAGTTCTGCACAATTCAAACTTCGGACCAGCATCCGTCATTCACCTCGAGCGTCTGGGTTGCCGTGGAAATGAAAAGTCCCTGCTGGAGTGCCAGAGAAGAAAGTTTTTCATCAATGACTGTCACCATGGCAATGAAGCAGGGCTGGTTTGTGCTGAGCCTGGAGGTAAGTCTGATTATTTCACAGGCGTAGATTCCCTTGTTGTTTTTCAGGTGTAGTTTTACCTGTTGTTCTCAGGTGTGGTGTTATCTGTTGTTCTCAGATGTGGTGTTACCTGTTGTTTCTCAGGTATTGTGTTACCTGTTGTTCTCAGGTATTGTGTTACCTGTTGTTCTCAGGTATTGTGTTACCTGTTGTTTCTCAGGTATTGTGTTACCTGTTGTTCTCAGATGTGGTGTTACCTGTTGTTTCTCAGGTATTGTGTTACCTGTTGTTCTCAGGTATTGTGTTACCTGTTGTTTCTCAGGTATTGTGTTACCTGTTGTTCTCAGATGTGGTGTTACCTGTTGTTTCTCAGGTATTGTGTTACCTGTTGTTCTCAGATGTGGTGTTACCTGTTGTTTCTCAGGTATTGTGTTACCTGTTGTTCTCAGATGTGGTGTTACCTGTTGTTTCTCAGGTATTGTGTTACCTGTTGTTCTCAGATGTGGTGTTACCTGTTGTTTCTCAGGTATTGTGTTACCTGTTGTTCTCAGGTCTTGTGTTACTTTTTGTTCTCCGGTGTAGTTTTACCTGTTGTTCTCAGGTGTAGTTTTACCTGTTGTTCTCAGATGTGGTGTTACCTGTTGTTTCTCAGGTGTTGGTATCCCGTTGAGGCTGGTTGGAGGTGTGGAGGAGTTTGAGGGTCGTGTGGAGGTGTATCATGACGGCAGGTGGGGAACAATATGTGATGATCAGTGGGATGATGCTGATGCTGAGGTGGCCTGCAGACAGTTGGGACTCAGGTAAGAAACAGGTCACCTGAGCTGACTCACCTTGTTTAATGTGTTCTGATGTGAAAGTGTCAGTTACTAAATGATAATTTATAAATGATAATCTTTTCCATCCATTTGTTTAATGATGTTTCTTTATACCTACTGAAAGGGGCGTGGCCAAGGCGTGGTCCTGGGCTCACTTTGGTGCTGGTTCTGGACCAATCTGGTTGGATGGCGTCCAGTGTTCAGGAAACGAGTTCTCCCTGGATGAGTGTCCTCGGAACGAGTGGCAGCAACACAGCTGTCAACACCTGGAGGACGCAGGAGTGTCCTGCAACCCACA